AGGAGAGACAGATCGCCAGACTTCAATCGCAAAAGGAGGGCTCGTGGTCCCATCTGGAAGCTCCGTAGAGGGTACCAGTTCAAGTTTAACTTGCCTCGCCGACTTATAGTCACGATACTCTTCGGCAATGACAAAGTTTGTTCGAAGAGACCAGCTGGGCAGCCTTGGAGACTGACCGGGACGTAAAGCTGGTATGTGCAGCAAATCCAACGGATAGTCCCTCAGGTTGACGCGCGCCTCTCCCATTTCCAGCTGTATACTCATGGGAACAAGCAGCGCATACTTCATGGACATCGGCATGCCTTTGCCGATGGTGTTGAGGAATTTGGGGTAATCTTCCAAGGGGAAGAAAGGTTTGTCAATGACAAGGTTGATGTCACTTATCAAAGCGGCCAAGAGAGCAGGTCTGTTCGGAATTGAGAGTACAGTTTCCGTTTCTTGAACATCTTCGGGAGCCTCATCAGCACCGGAGAAAAGGTTTCGCACTTCCTTGATCGACGTGCCCTGGAACCGTAGGGCAGAGTCGATCTTGTCCTTCCAGGACCGAGAATTGTGTTCTTGGAGACGAAACCAGGCATTCTCGGCTGAAACCTTGGCTTCGCAGGACAGGCAGGCAGCTCCCTCGGTATCATAGCGGAACTTTTTTCCTCGGCCACGCTTGTCATCCTGCAAGCTCTTCCGCGGTTTAGGGTCGGCACTCTTGCTTCTCCTGGACTCTCCGCTAACACGTTCACTACGAAGTGTCCGGTGGCTTGATCGAGCCCGAAGTCTCGACGAAGAGCGGCGCTGATCCGATTCCTTGATCTTTTGTAATTTCAGCTCGAATGCCTCCTCGCGGGCCAAGCGCTGGCGCTGCTCTATAAGACCAGTGCGATAAATGCAACCAAGTTTCCACTCGAAAGCATCATCTTCCAACTCAAATAGCAGAGCCTTGCTGCGCAATGACACCCTGGGGATCTTCTTGGGCTCTTCCGGTTCCCTGACTGATCCAAATTCAGCCGAGTGACCCTTGAAGCGTTCATGAAGCTGCTTAAGTGCTTTCGAGGTATTGATCACGTTGTCAAAAATGCGATGCATTACCATGTGATGCGGTACACCCAATCGAATGAAATCAGCCCAGACATCTATACTCCTTTGCTCGACAAGATTGGTGCCATGTTTGAGTTTCATCTTACGTAAATCAATGCGAACGTTGTTCATGCTTATGATTCTAGCCCACACACCTTTGAGTTTTGGCGCTTCTGCGTGTAACCGGATAAGATGTGCTTTCGCAAATGGAGCGGAGAGACGATGCGAGCCAGCGGTCAACCCGTAGATTTGAACCAACATTGGAGGATCAGCGGGCATAAAGGTCTTGAGCTGTATGACAGTTGCTCGGACATCATATGTCATGAGCTCGCCCCTCGCTGACGGACGTGGTGATGGGGGGTAAGCGAATTCCTTTTGCACAGGGGACATGGGCGTTTCAGGTATATCCGGTGACTTTCGCATAAAAGCGTCCTGGACCACGGACATCGCAACACCGAGGCAATAGTAGCGGTACAGGGAGTATTGTAGGTAAACGCCCTTGAACACCGAATTGAGGTTACTAATCGGACCAAGACGATCACTCATCGTGCTTAGGGCCACCTCGAATCTCGGTAGTGAGAAAAAGGGTTCGGCCTCCAGATAATCTTCGGATTCAATGACAAACCCCTCGAAGCCGCGGACATGGAGGGCAAGCCGTCTTCCATCTGTAGCGCCCACTTGTTTCTGTCTCGGAGGCGACGTAGGGGGGAACCGGAAGGACGACTCATCGCCTATGTAAGAGTGACTTGGGGTTCGTCTTCTCGCAAAACTGACAGTCGTTGGTTCTGACTTCTGGGCTCTGTAGTCTGCGGTCCACGATTGTAGCTGGAAGGAGACGCCGCGCGAGACCTCAGAGACACTCGTGTCGACACCAGCAATCTCCAAGCTGAGGCCAGTTGCTTCGAATTGAAACCGGAGCAACCATGGCGGAATTCGCCTGAGAACACTGGGTTTCCGCTCCTCAAATGACATAGAGGCCTTTCTTCTGTGCCGCGTTTGAGCCCGGAACTGCTCAAGTACTTGATGAATGCCACGGTTCACTTCATCGTTGACCATGTGCGCAGAACAGGTATTCAGACTCCCAGATGCAATCACGCGTACTTCTGGCGAAGCACTAAGTAGCACCTTGAATTCCAAGCTCTCGGTCGTCAGAAGATTATGTTTCACACCGGACGGGGTTTGATAGTACAGCTGGTGCGACGCCACCCGGTAAATGGAAGAGAGCGAATAGTGAACCCCGCCTTCAGATGAATGTGAAGATTCAATGTCAAGAGATATAGAGGATATAGAGGAAATTAGTAGATTATAATCGTCGTCAGGGGTGTCGGAAGGCTTGGAAATGGGGAGGACGAATCGAACCACGGGTTCGTGAACCGATACTTTGATACTGGCTTTGGGAAGAAGCCTGGAAATCAAGCGATGGTTATCTCTCTTCTTTCCACGAGGAGATGCCTTCTTCGCTTGAGTTAACCCTAAGAGCCGAGAGACCTGCTTTGGCTCTAGATCGAGTGATGGGGACGTCACCACCAAATTAGCAAATAGTATGTTGGTATTGCGCTCCTCCGGGTTGTGGTCATCGAAGGAGCTGATCGTCTTTGAAGGGAGCGTAGTCTTGATGGTTGTGGTCGCCATTGGGATATAAAGTATGTTGTCCGTCTCACCTGAGCAATCATCCAAAGTGACCGACAAAGAGATGGCCGCCAGGAGAGCTTGATGGGCGACATCATCGCGTTGGAAATACATGCGATGAGCAGGACTCTTTTGGTCCATTCGGTGAAGGTCAATGCCTAACTCATGCGATACCACGTTCAGATACACGGGGTTCTGTTTTGACGAAGGCGGCTCAAAAGCTCGAGTTAACCTAAAGAAGCTCAGGGCAACCTGGATCCCTTGTATACCCCGAAGGATTGACCCAGCAAACTCCTTGGAGTCAGCGACTGCCTGCACAATGGTGTCGTCTCGGCTTCCGGGCTGATCCAGCTCCTCCACAAAGTCTGAAAAGGAGACCTCGTCATCGGTCTCGATATTGGTAGGCTCCACCGACGACTGCCGAGACTGTTTGACGCGCTGCATCAGAGTCATCACATCATCGTACGGGATATGCATGCGCCCAATCTTGAAAGCGATGGACGCATCTCTTAGACCCTCGAGATCTTTGTGGAGAAGCCCATGTATATTGACCCGAACATTGTCCAGCACTTCGGTTGGCTCCGCTCCGTCTATCCCGAGTAGCACATTCTGTACATTCATCACCCACTCTGCCGGTCGATGCTCGTCGGGGCCCTGGTTTTTGCGCCGAAAGAAGAGTTTGCCTCGATCCACCATCTTGCGCCTCGTATCGACGCCTAAGGATAAAGATCCAACCTGGATCTGACCAGCTTCCACGAGATTGATGGTCGTATTGACGGCTACCACATCCACCAACTTCAACCAATGTATTTGCCGATGCAGTCGTTTCACTTGCTCCTTCATGCGGGTCAGCTTCCGCCATGTCTTGCTCCGCTTGGGTATAGAAGAGCTGTCTTCCCGATTATCCGGCGCGGTGGACGACTCTTTCTCTGACGGGGCTTCCAAAACCGATGCATCGGGCTTTGTGGCGGACTTCTTCCCCTTTGCCAAAGCTGAAGGATCCAGAGTCAATTTCAGTTCGGTCAGGCGAATGCTGAGCCATGTCGGTTGCGCAAACGAGGGCGGGTGTAGAGAGAGGCCGAGGCCACGGAGTTCGATCTGGACGCCATCTCGGGGAACATATGCGATGCGGCGGAGAGAAAAATAACCTATTCGTTGAATCGAGATTCCGGTCGCAATCCGAACGATAGCGAATATGAGGAAGGAGGAGAGGTAGAGGAGGAGGAAGCCCACGAGGACCGTGGTCGGGCTAAAAAGCGTCATCGTAGTTCGCGGTCAGTAGGACCGATCCGTTGCACAAGATGGGCAACCGTCCAACAAGAGATCATGGAGAGGCGTTTCGGAGACTGCGGAGTGATTCTAGACGGAAGTGGTGAGTGAAAAATGACTAGAGGGAGCAATGGTATGCCTATGCAACCACACGAGCTCCCCCGAGCAGATCCAGCGCAACCCTCCTGAGGAGAGGGGATGGGGGGGTTGTACTTCGGCGGATCCGGGAAAGAGAACAGGTCTCCGTTTAAGGGTAGAGCTGCAGAGGGGTTGAAAAAACGTGGTGAGAGTAACGAAACAGGCGTAAGTCAGTCATGCTTCTTCGTCCCTTTTCTCCCCTGAATGTAAATATTGATTTGTTCTTCGTCCTTCACCACCACCGTGAACCCAGTTGCGTTTATGATGAAAGGTGAGGACGATCGGGAGGGCGAGCCATAGATGCCAAACCACTGGAGCGGCAACCTGTCAGCGGCGGAAAGGTCGAACCCGTCGCGCTCAAGACTGGAAGCGGAAAGCCGCCCACTTTTTTTTTTCTCCCAGGCTGGCAATGGACCAACGAGGGGGTTATTCTCTGGCTGGACCGTCCGGCTGGCTCGGCATTGCTGCTTAGCAATTTACTTAACTGGCAAAAGATGTGGGTTTGCCCGCTGCATAGAAAATAAAAAAGTAAAAAGCAAGCAAAGCAATTCGACGCACCTTCCGAGCCTCAATGGGCTGCTGCAGTCGATCGGGGAGCATTTTTCCCTTTCCCCTGGCTCGATGGGACCCGACCTCACACAAAGCTTAGCAGCGTGTTCGTTCTTGGTTGGACTCTGTTGGATTCAGGTATCTATCTATTCACCTACGAACACGGTAGTTGGCATCTTCCCTCCTTGAATTTAGCGCAACATTCTCACCAAGTATCGCTTGATTGGGGATTCCTCACGAAACTTTCCCAACAATATCCAGAATGCTTCTTGGCGTGTGGAGCGGAAAGAAACACTTGTCAATCGCGAATACTCCGTAGTGTTCCATGTAATTAGGGTCTGCTTCATGATCATACAGGGTCTTGTTTCAAATTAAAATACATGGGTCTGGGAACAATATGATACATGACAAAAGGTAAAACTCCTTCTGGAGGCTTCATGGAAGCGGTGGCACCGGCATCCGTAGCCAACTCAAAGGTACGGCAGATCCGACCATCGTGTTGTTGGTCGAAGGCTAAAGTCGCAACCTCAAAACCTCCTGAATAGCAGCACAACATCATTGCAAAGCTGAGTGCAAGTGCAACACACAATGCTGCCCGGATTTCCATCCTAGAGGGAAATTGAACGATCTACGTCCATCCCCCGATCACACAGTCCTCTCCTTAACATACTTAGATCGGACATGTAAGATCGGCCCCCAACCATTCGAGAATGGCCGTAACTTTTCTCTTTTTCACCCATAGCCAAGTTGCTAGTGGCCGTCTAGAAACCGACTACTTAGCTGCAGGATCCGAATTTCCCGATTCGAGACCACTAGTCTTGAGCTTTTCAAGCTCCCCGATCTTGTCGTCAATGAGTGCGATCTCAGCCTCGATACTCAACACTTTCTCGTTCAAGATACCCCTGTAATCGTCATCTGAGAGTGACTTGAGCGGGATCCATTTGGAGTCGGCCATCCGCTGCAGGAACGGCTTAGACGTCGTATTCGCGTTCTCCATTTGCCAGGTGTCGATCGCATTATAAGAGCTTTGCCCGACATAGCCTAGTAGCGAGAAAACAACTAGCCCAGGGACAAGTCGCCCGCCTAGCTCCGACCATCAGTAAACCAACCACCACCACCTCTTTCTCTCTCAAATGGGAAAATGAAAGGATGCTACCAAACTCACCCATTAGCCTCGTAACAGCCCCTCCGGCAACTCCTCCAGAGAGGGCGCTGACATAAGCCCGTTGCTTAGGGGTCGCCTTGTCTTCATAGTGAAGCTTCAGAATGTTGCTTCTCAACCCTGTAGCAGCAGGCTTGGTATCATTTCCACTTCTATAAGTGATAGACGAGAGGAAGACTCACACCAAAAGGAGGCTCCACATGCAAACCAGTGGATTCCGCAAGAGATAGAATGAATGACGGGGTGAGGAGACCGAATGACTCCTGATATGCCCCCGTATATGAGACCAGCCGACCCTATTAGAGAAAAGGAATAAGTAAGTAGGGCTGCTGCAATGAGTCTCCGGCATATGTTTCCTGAGTTGAGGCAATACAAGCCGGCCAACCAGTCACCGGGATGAGATTCGTAACTACTAACCACTCACGGCTCCCACCTTCAGAGAGGAGGTCAATACATTAGGCTCCGGATATAACGATTTGGTCTGTCCGCTCATCTTTGCGGGTTCTGGCACTGTAGTCCGCGACTTCAGGTCAGAGGCATATCCTGGTTAACAGTTTCAATCAGCATCGTCTCTCATGCAAATCCACAAGCGTGCACGTGATTCACGCAGGCTCGGGATGCTTATCTAATCCATCTCCCTCCTTCTGCCAAGCAGGAGTATGATTGATACAATGGCCTGCTTGTTATCTATCTGATGCAGACAATATACTGTGTTAAGATTCTTGTGGGACACCTTAATGCCTTAGATACACACATACTATATACAAGTCTCTCGCAAGTAAGATAGCTCTAGAATCTATGAACCTGGTCCTTCGAGAAGCCCAATCGGCTCAAGATTCCTTCAGGCGATCTTCTTGTTCCAACCAAAGAATCTTCCATCGCCGGAGGACCGCAAATGAAGACCTTTGTATTCTGCGTCGACTCCTTGAATGTGCTCCTTAAAAGCTCCTCATCGATGTACCCTGTTCTGTAAGGGGAGTTCTCTTTTGGACGGCTAACAGTGTATATGTAGTTGAAACGGTCAGGAAACTCTGTGGCTTAACGATCAAGTTCATCCTTCAACAGTAGATCTTCCTCGGAGTTGACTCCAAAGATTAGAGTCAGTTTCGTTCTATCCTGAGGGTTCTTCAGGATGCCTTTGATAAGCTGATATATAGGCGTGATTCCCGCCCCGCCAGCCAAGAGGTAGGCGTGGGAGAACTCATTCTGCTTCCACTGATAGCCTTTCAGTGAAGTCGCAAACCTAATTGAGTCTCCTGGTTTCAAGGAGTGCAAGTAACCACTGGCCTTCCCGTCCGGGTATTTCTTGACCATAAGTTCTATACGTCCTGGTTCATCTGTGTATTTGATGTTACTTAGCAAACATGGTCCAGGATACGCATATCCCTAAGCACGCGCAGGTCTCATCTCTATGATAGATGGACCATGTCTATGTGTTCAGGCTGTGTTGAGTCGGACACGGTATGAGCTCACCCAAGTCACTTATAGGAGTATATGGTCGAATTGTAGGAAGCCAGTTCCCTTCAGGATGGGTGATTGCTAGGAGGGCGGCTGTTGAATGTTAGCAGGATATCCTGACGATAGAGACTGTCCGTCAAGGGGCCAGTGTTACATGTCAATGTCAGGCCGCTGCGGGCGGATTCGTTAGGGTATTCGAAGACTAGTCGCTTCGTGTTGTGATTGACGGTTTTGGTGCTCTGCAAGCGCAAAGTGGTGAAACCCAGCCCAGAGAAGACTGCTTTTGGCTCGTTCGATTCCGCGAACGCTGTTGAATATTGCTTCGTGCAATATATGCCCAGGCCTGTAAAGCTGGCCACTCCAGCAACCTTGATGGCCTTGGGGATTGTGCGCTGGATGATAGTCATCCTGTGATTGAAGAACCAATCCTTTATCAAGATGAGAACGAAGAAAGCAAAAATGAGCGAGAAACATTCCCGAAATCCATTGGGACTTCACGGCCTAAATAGGCCAAGAGATCAGTAGTATACTCCATCTCGCATAAGGCGAATGATCACTGTGGACCCAGGGACAAAACAATTGCCTCAGAGGAGCATGATTCGTTGGACGAGATCAGTCGATAGACTATCGACCCCGAACTAGGGAGACCAGATCGGGAATATGGTAGAGAGGGGGACTGCAATGATATACAAAGTGCAGTCCCAAAGACCGAGCAACATCAGATTCCAAACCCCGACAAAATCCGAGACCCTGGATGATGTCAACGACAGACGGTGGTGTGTTTGTGTGCCTGACGGCAGCGGGTCGGTGCCTTGATCTTCCCGCCATCAAAGCGGGTCCACCGAGTAAATGCAATCAACAATTTGTGACCACTCCATTTATACCCCTATGGCTTCGATATTCTCATTCCATTTGTAGCAATTCATTAGGATTCGCCTGTTGCCAAGCTCACATGATTTCAACGTCGTTTGAAGACCACCCGGAGTAGATCACTCCATTCAATACATTACTACAGTCTTCGAAAATAGTACGCATGATTGAATCTTCGAGAACAACTACGATATATATCACAATACTTATCGTTGTCACGTTATACTAGTATTACAGCAGCACTTAATCATGCTATGGCATTCACTCTTCTTAAACTGATTGGGCATGAGATCGACTTCCGCCATGTATGCATAGACTGACAGGGTATTTGGCGGCCCGCAGATCCTGACTCCCCGCTGCGGGACGCATGGGGAGTGGAGTGCGGGTCGCTCAGGTTATACAAGTAGCTGGCGTGTTGACTGGATCAAAGATGTAAAGAGGCCCTTGCAGTTCCTCTGAAGAGCAGCGGGGGCTGTGCGTTGACCTTTGCATTCACAAGAAATATAAGATTTGGCTGGTTGGACTAATGCAGGCTTCGCGAGGCTTCATGAACAAGCCATACGGAAGTCTCTTGAGCAAAGCCACGGAATATTGCGCCCTTCTAAGATAGCTCTGAGACTGTATCTACTGCGCGCAGCCTGGTTTGCATCTTCTCTTGGACGCTTGTCTACATTTGGAACCTACATTAGCGTCCATGTGCAGCGTGAGGATGCCAAAGACGTGCATCAACCGGGCTGATGAAGAGCAAGATATGTCCTTAGCCCCGAGAAATGGCGTACGAGCCATTTCAAATCAACAGTTGCTCATCACCCTTCACTTGCCAACTGCAAACGTTCTCAAACTCCATATTATCCTCGCTGTACACTAGGCGCACAATCCCAACCATGTGGCTAGATCCTTATGTCCAAATACGTAGCCGCTGCCGGTACCGTCGGATAGAACTGTGACAACCTAGGAATATCCAAGGGTTGAAGGAACTTGTAAGTGGGCAAGTCCTTCGAGTGGGGGTTGGCATTGCTGTGTCTTCAACAAGTGTAGAATATCACCGAAGACGCTTCCTTCGAATGGACTGATGGGTAGTGTTTGAGTTGAAGCCGACAGCGTTTCTCGAAAACTAGTTGTCTTCAGTCGTACTTTGTTTCGTTGTGGACACGAACGACTGTTGGGAAATCGACAATCACCGACACACCCGAACGTACGGAATAGTACCTGAATAGCACTGAGCAATAATCTTGTACTGTACGTTCAGTCTGTGTATATTGTCTTCCGATTTCCTAGTCACCATCTTGACGTGGAGATGTATTTTAGGATGGCGTGGGGGTCACGGGCTTCGGAGGTGAATGGTGCCTAGCTTCATTAGTAGCAATGCCTTTTTGCTCGACGATCGTGAGTCTGGATGAGGAACTGCCAAGAAGACATTCGCAGACAGAAAATGAATCACTACTGTGTGTCATAGCAGTTCACGAGGGAGTTAGTTTGATAAATTAGCAACCTGGAAAATGCAGGTGAGAGAAAGGGAGTGATTGCAAGTGATGTCTGCGTGTCGGTTAAGTGCCGTTCCTAGTATGGAACCAACCGCGCAGACAATGAAGACAAGAATGTCTGGCCCAATGCGGAATGGGGCCTATTCAAGCGGAGAACCGATGAACAAACAATATTCACCACTATAACAATAGTAGTGACAAGGGACCAGAAAAGGGAGACGAGTTTGACAGTCCACAGTCACTTATACTCATTATCTCATCGAATCCGACCGAAAAAAGACACCGGGTGGAGAGGAGAAAGAGGGGCGGAAGGAGAGAGACACACTTTCTCCGCAAAAAGGCGAGGGAAAAAAGGTGGAAAAAAGCCCTCGGGTTGGGTCGAGGCGGCCGACCCAAAGCCGCACCAACACTTTTTTGAGGCTGACTTTTCTAGCGTCATCACTAAAATTTATCCTCACGGATTAACCTACTTTCCCCCTCTGTCCTTCACTGCGGAGCTGTCCTGCATTCCCCCCATCACTCAACGCCCCTTTGGACGTCCACTATCACTCTCGTGATTTCTTCCCCGTCGGAAGCCCCCCCTTTAAATCCTTTAGAAGAACCTTTATTCTGAGACGCGCACAGGAATCCCCTTGGCGCGTTTCCCACTTCTGAACAACCGCAATCATGGGTACGTTTAACCCCTCCTCGTCCGGCGCACTGTCCCAATTTACGTCAATTTCGCATCCTCTGAATTGTCCTGGATACTAATGGCTTTATTCTACGTACAGCGCCCTCTAAGCAGAAAGCCCAGAAGATGTCTCTGGGCAACTTCTTGGCCGATGAGAGTATGTCCCTGTGCATCCATATCGTCGCGGGGATGAACGGTGGCTAACAGGAACAGACTTCGGTTCTTGGGCCGACGAGATGGAAGATATGCCTTTGCCTTGTAAGTGACGGATTCCTTGCCTTTGGTTTATCGCTCCCTGCTAATATTGATGCCTTTCTAGCCGGTACGTTGTACATGATATTTCTTCCTTCGATCCGATTGATGCTAAACTTATATCAGCTCCCGCTCCGTCCAGCTTCGGTCGCTCTGCTGCGCCTTCTTCTGGCTTCGGAAGCAGCTTTGGTGGTGGTACGGAACTCGCCCCTATGTTATTGCTGCATTTCTGCTCCGATATATGTGTTTGATGCTGATGGAAGTACCAGAGCGTGAGCGTGGTGGCTACGCCGTGAGAGAGCCCCTTCCTCTTCCGACCCAGCCCCCCTACACTGCCCATGTTGGAAACCTGTCCTTTGATGCGACTGCCGCCGATATCTCCGACCTCTTTGCCGACTGTGGTGTTACCAACGTCCGTATCGTGGAGGACAAGTTGACCAAGGCCCCCAAGGGCTTCGGATATGTCGAATTTGAGACTGTTGATGGTCTGAAGAAGGCTCTTGATCTTTCCGGCGCTACCCTCCAGGGACGTTCCATCCGCACCAGCATTGCCGAACCTCGTAGGTGTCCTTTCTCAGGTATGATGATTTGCGCCAGCTGACGGTACCTATAGCCAAGGAACGTGATGTCAAGGAGTTTGACTGGACCCGCAAAGGCCCTCTGCCCGATGTTCCTCAGCGCCGTGTGCCCGACCGCTCCTCTTTCGGACGCAACCTCGACAACATGTCTGATGCCGGCAGCGACCGCGGTAGTGGCCGCCGCAGCAACTTTGAGAGTGATGGAAAGTTCCGTGATTTCAGCAACTGGGAACGCAAGGGCCCTCTCTCTCCCCCGCCTGTCCGGGAAGGTGGCCGTCCCCGCAACAACGAAGCACCTGGTTTCAGAAGAAGCTCCCCCGCCTGGGGTGAGGGACGCTCCCAGGATGGCTCCCGCCCCCCGAGACGCGAATTCCAAGAACGCACCCCCACCGCTGCTGAACTCGATAACGCCTGGAGATCCAAGATGCGCCCCGACCAGCCCGCCAAGGAGGCCAGCAACCCTCCCTCTCCTGCTGCCGCTCCCGCCGCCCCCGCTACTCGCCCTCGCTTGAACCACCAAAAACGGACTGTGACTGAGGCCGTCTCCAGCCCCACCGCCAACACCGAGTCCAAGGCTAGCCCGTTCGGTGGTGCTCGGCCCATCGACACTGCCGCTCGCGAGAAGGAGGTTGAGGAACGTCGCCAGATTGCCATCCGTCAAAAGAAGGAAGCGGACGAGAAGGCCAAGGCCGAGAAGACTGAGAAGTCTGAGAAGACCGAAAAGCAGCGTCCTGCCAAGGAGCAGCCCAAGGCTGAGAAGACCGGTGCGCCGGCTGATCCCAACGGCCGCGATGTCGCCGAGCACGCCCAGGGTGGCACGAACTTCGAGATCCTCCGGCGGGCCGGTGAGGACGAGAGCGGTATGACTGCCGATCAGGATCAGAGCGAGGAGGCTGCTGCCAAGAAGGCCGAAGCCTCGACCGACGCTCCCGCCAGCAAGGCGAATGGCAACTGGAGGGCCGGGCCTGCCGAGGCTGGAGCCGACGACGAGGGCTGGAGCACCGTGAGCTCGAAGCAGCGCAACAACCGCCGTGGCGGCCGCACGTTTGCATAGATCAATGGATACCCCCCAAGCTCGTCATCGCTTGACTGAAAACCTTGCGCCATGGTCCCCGAAGTGCGTGTTATAAAGCGACCAGACTTTGCTTCTAGCCCTCGTTGGGTCGCCGATTTGCTGCGCAACACTCGTGGAGATGGCCAGGTGGATTTTGGTTAACGTCGATGTCCGTTTGTTTTGATGTTGTTCAGAGTCGTCCTCAACTTCTTTCGCTTTCTCCTTTCTCTCTTCCTACGGGTTGCCGCCTCCGTCTGGATCTAGGATTCAGGTCTAGTCCCCTTGTTTCTTCCGTCAAGCATGTCGAAAAGTTTGTTCTTTTCCCCAAATTTCCTAGTGTGTGTTCTTCACGTTTCTCTGAGCTAGTTATTCCCATGTACGTGGATGAAGTGTTATACAGCAATGACCCTTATGGCTGATGCGAAGGAAGAAGAGTATACGTTTCTTTTCACTTGTTATCTTATGCTTTTGAACTTGCTGATCAAAACCTCAACCCCTCCATTCGCCTCCGAAATTAATTTGCCCGACCCCCTTTTTTGCTGCCAGACAGTTGCTTTTTTACTCCACTCTCCAAACTCTCTTTTCTTCTTAAACTCTGTCTTGCTTCTGGATCCGGGGATGGCGTGTGGAGTCTTGTTCCCTTCTTGTTCAACCTAACCGGAGAGCCCCCATGCATGTCCCTACTACTAGTTGACACGAGGCAGTTCCCCCATACGAATAAGATAACGATTAGCAGTTTATAAGACCTAGTAGCTGTATGCATTGTGCTATCTTGTAGGCTAGTCAGTAAATGACTAACATCACTAATAAGAGTGCGTGAGTAAGTTCCTCGAAACCAAGCTATGCGGCTATATAAAAATATATAAACCATATCGAACCCAGTAATAAGTAAGACACATAAACATAAAAACTCCTATTTAAACCCTCATCCATCATAATGATTCCAAGCAAGAAAAGAAAGAAACTAATCATCAAAAGCAAATAAATGCACAACCAATCGCTTCCCCCCTCCCTCCACCATGGCAGCAGTAGCAGCAAAGCACGCGCGGAGAAGCTGAAGGAAGGGAAAACCAAACCTAATTCGATCGAGAGGATCGACGGGATGCATAGCGACCCAACTAGTAGCAGTACCTAGTAAGTAGCAGCAGCAGCAGCTGAAGAACGGGAGTAAGAGTAAGAAAGTTAGTTCAGTCAGACCATCGATTTGATTCATTGGTGAGTAGTGAGTTCTACGCTCCCAGCCCCCATCCCGAATAGGAAGTCGGGTCCCCGCGGATTACGATCCGCTGGTTTGTCTGTCTGTCTGTCTGTCAGAGAGGGAGAGATTGTGATGGGGGTGAGGGGAGGAAATAAAGGCAAGTAATCCCGTCGTATGTTGAGCTAGAGCTAGATCACTACGTAAGTTGATCTTTATCTATCTGCTAATCTGTCTGTCTATCTATCTGGTTTTATTTTTATCTATCGCATTTGGACGCGACGAGACTGCGACTAACTAGACTACGATTGCTACCATCTGATTACTATCCCGCTACCCTACCCCACATATCATACTACTGTCAGTATCTAAACTAGAGCTCTTGACCGACCGACTGACAGGCTCTGTTTTTTCTTTTTCCTTTCGCACATATCCCTCCTCTTCCCCTCACAATCCTTCTCTCAGTAACACTCCTCTCTGTGTGTCGGTGTCAGGATGTATCCAGAAGAATTCCTTTCCGATCCGCCTTCTACGGGCTCTGCGCCCTGGAAGCTGGCTTTTCGCTCCTCCAGGGCATTTGTGATTTCGGTGGTGGCTATTGCGGTCTTCACGGTATTTGATCCTTGTGATGATGGATCGGTTTTGGTGCTGATGTCGTGATCGATCATAGGATGTGTTCATTTATGGAATGGTAACTGCACCACCTTCGGATCGGCTCGGAGCTTCATCTGACCAGTATAGATTGTGCCCATCTTGCCAATTGTGCTTAAAACACGCGTGATCGTACCGGAAGATGAGTGTAGGATGTCTCTGTATCAGAAATTGTAAGACAACAGGCTAATCATCCACAGTGCAAAAATGGATGTCAATCATGCTGGCTGCCTTTGGCGGTGGTATATTCTTCGGATCCCGTAGGTGTCACTTCCTTACTTAACGAAATGAGCGCAATTAACACGAAGTTGCTAGCAATATTCGGTTACTTCGCGGACAGAAGCTCATCGCGCCAGCTACCTTTCCTCATTGGACTACTCGCGCTCGCCGGGACGACTATCGTGTTCTGGTTCGCAGAAACAGTCTCGTCCTTGGTCATTGCGCGCAGTCTCCAAGGGTTGTCAGCTGCCGTGGTCTGGACTGTCGGTTTGGCTCTCGTCGTCGATACGGTAGGCAAGGATCAGGTGGGAGCTGCAATGGGATATGTCTCGATGGCACTGACCGTGGGGACGGTGTTTGGCCCATTTATCGGAGGGATCATGTGAGTTCAGTGTTTGTCGCATTGGAAGCTTGAAAGTCGATTTACTAATAATCTAGGCTGTCGCGAGTGGGCTATCATGCAGTGTTTGTATTGGCAATTGGGTTGATCGTGCTGGATATCTGTCTTCGACTTGTGATGGTCGAACCCAAGAATGCTGCGCAATGGATTCAGTCAGGCAGTGGCGGAGAGACACAAGGTCTGCTAAACGAAGCTGGTGCGCACGGCACTGGGTACAATGCAATTACGGCGAATGATAGCGCAGGTCAGACATCTGGCATCGCTGATGAGTGTCCATCCCAGGACAGCGGCGAGCCACTGACCAGCGGGAGGTCAACCTCTGTACCTGGGATTGTTCGCCTGATTTTCTCAGGCAAGTTGCTCGTCGTTCTTTTGGCGACGGTGGTGGATGCTATCATCTGGTCCGCTTTTGATACGGTATGTGCCCATCCCATATCTTCATAGATGAAGTTAACGAGGTCAGGTGCTCCCACTGTATGTCATGAAAACGTTCGGCTGGGGATCATTCGAAATCGGGCTGTGTTTCCTACCGCTCTTTGCGCCTTCTTTCCTCTCCCCATGGATTGGTATGTGCCAGACGATGTTGATGCCCTCTAGCTTTGCTAACCAATGATTGTAGGTGATGCAGTGGACCGTTGGGGAGCACCCCGGGTAGCCTTTGTTGGCTTCCTGCTCGATTTTCCAACATTGTTGCTCTTCCAGCTTGTCGCACGCAACACGACCCAGGACCAAGTTCTTCTCTATGCTTTCCTCTTCCTCGCAGGTGTCGCTTCGACTTTGCAGATGGTCTCCCTGATGACGGAGGTCAACAACGTGACGGAGCGGTACGAGCGGGAATTTCCCGGTATCTTCGGACATCAAGGAGGAACTGCACAAGCGTACGGGCTTTTCAATGTAGCCTGGTCGGGCGGGCAGGTACTGGGGCCCTTGGTAGCGGGTCTGCTAGTCGAACGAGCCGGCTGGACGACAATGGTGACGGTGTTGGGGGCAGTCAGCGGAGGCATTTCCGTGGTTATCGCGCTCTCGGATCGAAGGGTTCTGCCGGGGAGGGAGAAGAAGTAAGGCTGGACTGGACGTAGATTGATGAGTTACGATGCTAAGGCTGTGTTGATGAGTATACACGATAAGTAACGATTGATGGATTAAAAGGGGTAGAGATGAGATGTGAATTCGAAATAAAAACGTTGATATAAGATCTTCCGGTCGGAAGGGTATTATGAAGCCGGGAGGTCTGCAAGGGAGACAAGATCGGTGATTCCTCAGCGCACATCTCCTTTCTAGACAGGTTAAGGTTGAAGATCTCCCGGGCCAGCAAGGGAGCCCGATCTTTATCAAGGCTGCAGGGTTTATCCATTATCTCATGGCTGGTGTTACCCTGGCGATAAGGAACGCGATGGCATCCAGGGCGGTTGGCCAGGAGGCTGGAATGGAGTCGAGGCCTTTCGCAGCACGTCTCCCAGTCGGTGTATCAAGCGCCTGTCTGTAGGACTTTTGTACGAGACAGACCAAGCAAGTCAGTTTTAGGAACTGTCACGGCATGAGATGCAACTGGCAGATCAACCAGACAGGCAAATGACGAGTCACCAACAGCAACTCACTAGCCAGCGGGTCTCAACGGTGCGGTCCACACGTGTTGCCTCGCGCGCGGATCCAACAAGATTCCACGGCGTCTCCAAGGGTTTGCAGAAGGAGCAACATTGTTGGTTGGTGGTAGGCAGTCCAATGCCAGAGATATGATGATCACATCCATTGGCAGTAGTAAGGATCTAGTACTTGAGTGACTGCCAGCGCAGCAGAGGAAGGAGAAGATGCATTCCTTCTGCTGTTCTGGAGAGGGAAAGACCGGCGGCTCCCCACCGCTTCCCGCCGCAGGGACAATTAATGCATTCAATTCCCAGTTTAATCAATTTAATCTTCCCCGTCTTACTACGTACTTACTGCCTGTGCTGACTTCTTTCCTCTCACCGGCCTCATCCCCATCTGCCTCTGCACGCTCTCTCGCTTTCTTGTTTGAGCAGGCTGGCTACCGACATCTTCTCCTCCAACCACCTTCCCTTGCCTCACTACACCACTGCATGAGCGTCCCTTAAGCAGCTTGGCCTCCTATTTATTGTCTCTCTGCCGCTTTCTGCGACACTGGTCCGGCATCCTTTCATTTCAGCCTCCCGCCGCTCAGTTTCACCTCCGATCCGCTGACGTTGCCTTCCCTACAATTGATTGTGCATTGTACACGATCGAACTTGATCCTCACTTTCACCTCATGTGGCACAAACAATGTCGACCACCACCACTACCACCGCTCTAACGTCCACCACTCTCATCGGCACGCTGCCCTCTATGGCGGGCGCTGCCGCTCTCGTCTCCGGAAAGGTCTGTCCAACTTGCGGCCAGGACGGATTTCTCGCTGCTGGACAGTCCACAAATGATACCCGACGTCGAGCGAAGGACCTTGAAGGACAGGTCAACGCTCTGAACTTGCAAGCAATGCAAATGGGTGAGGTACCCAGACCCCACACTACTCATTGATAGTATACTAACGGAGGTCACTCCTCAACAGCCGAGAAACTGGCCGCATACGAGGAAGAGATCCGACGACTGCGTGCGCAACCGTCCTCCCGAAACAACACATCCGTGTCATCTACCGCATCGACGCAAATCGACCGGTCCCAATCACCTACTCACCTACAAACATCCCCGAAATCGCAACCGGGCCGACTTTCTACGCTTGCCTCTTTCCTCCCCAACCGTCGACCGAGCGCTACCAGTACCACCCAGGCTCAGCCGGTCGCTTCGCCGCCCCCACCGGAGCCCGTACAGCCGATAACCACCCAGGAGGAGACAGTGGAGTTACAGAATGCATTGAATCGGGAGCAGAGTCTACGTAAAGCCGCAGAAAGCCAGCTGTCGCAGGCGAGCACGGAGCTGGAGGAGTTGACGGCGCAGCTGTTCAGCCAGGCGAACGAGATGGTCGCGCAGGAACGCAAGGCGCGAGCTCGGCTTGAGGAGCGTGTCGCGGTGCTGGAACGTCGAGATGTCGAGAAGCGAGCTCGACTGGAGCGCTTAGAGAAAGCGATGGCACGTGTGGAGCGGATCCGAGCGATGGTCGGATAGACTGGGTGGATATCAGTTTCGGTTGCTTTTCTCGCTCTTCATTATCGCTTGCTTTTTATCATATACCCCGGTGTTTTGGTTTGGCGAAAGCCATGTTATGGTTGGCACGAGATGCATGACCTGACGGGATGAGGCGTACTTATGAGAGTGACGATAGCATTTACGGCGCAGCGTTTGAATTATTGCATTGATGGAGGATATTAATATAGCATGGTACACATTTTACTTTTTTACTATAATATTTGTTGAAATATTCGTCTACACATTACCCAGTAATGAAGGAAATGAAATGAATATCCACCGAACCCCGCCATCCACACTCCGGGACTAAACGCCATTAGTCTGAGTGCCTCGCACGTCCCCACATTTTATTTCCTATAGCAAATTATATTAATAGCATCGATAGACCCTTCGCCTCCCAATCCCCAGCTATCTACTCCTATATAGTTCCTTTCTTCCCTGTCATTACTACTATTATTATTATCAGTGATCTTTGTCACGCACATCATCAAAATGTCCACCCCCATCGGCGTAGCCATCATCGGCAGCGGTACCTATCCCCAGTATCAATCCCAATTTCACATGCATCTAACATATTAATCGAAATAAAATAGGCATCTTCGCCAAAGAAGAACACCTGGTACCACATACCCCCTTCTCCCTTTAATTCCCCCCATATACCAAGTACTAATAAGAGAATATAAGCCCATCCTAACCACCTCCCCCCTCTTCACCCTCAAAGCCATCTACTCCCGGAGTCTCAAATCCGCAGAGTCCCTCATCTCAGGGAGCAAGAGCAAAGAAGATGACGCCGTGATGAAGAACGTGGAATTATATTCCGAGGATTCCGAAGCTGGTAGACGGTTTCAGGATCTCCTCGACAGGGAGGATGTGCGGGCTGTTGTTATTGCGTGAGCATGTCCCCTCCCCACTTCAATCCGCATATGACGAATATCATCATTAGATATGATGATGATGATGATAAACATATACTGAATGGAAAACAGTCTTCCCATCCCCGCCCAACCAAGCTACATCCGCGCAGCTCTACGTGCCGGCAAACACGTCCTAAGCGAGAAGCCCATCGCGGGTGATCTCAACACCGCTAGGGCTCTCCTCTCAGAGTACCAGGCTCTCGCGACGAAGCCGCTCTGGGGTGTAGCGGAGAACTGGCGCTTCTTGGGAAAATTTACCCGGGTGGCTCAGGAGGTTCGGAAGTTGGGAAATGTGAAGGCTTTTAGGGTTAGTGTGAGGACGTTGATTGGGGAGGGGTCGAAGTATCATCGTACGTTATCTATTCTTTTCTTCTACTTTCTTCTTCTTCATTTAGGAGGGTTTGGGTAAGCTAACATTGTTGCAGAAACCGAATGGCGTCGCAAACCCACATACAAGGGCGGATTCGTCCTCGATGGAGGGGTCCACGCCATTGCTGGATTGAGGCTCATTCTTGGTAAGGAGGACGCTATGGCGGCTGTGTCGGCTATGATGGGGTTGCAGAGGGAGCATCTGGCGCCGGTGGATACGCTCGATGCGGTGGTTAAGACTAAGTCTGGGGCGAATGGAGTGGTGTCGTTGTCGTATGGGGCTGCTGTCAATGAGACGGTCTTTGAGTTTAGTTGTGAGCGGGGTGTGGTTAAGTTGGATCGGGATACGGTGACGGTTAGCGGTGGGGAGTCGTTTGAGGTGCCGTATGAGGGACGGGGAGTGAATTATGAGGTGGCTGCGTTTGGGGAGTCGATATTGAAGGGACAGTTGGAGGAGAGGCTGCGGCCGGAGGAGGCTTTGGCTGATTTGGAGGTTATGGAGGGGATGTTTGTGAGTGAGGGTGGGAAGGTGCTGTTGGATTTGCAGTGATGGATTGGCCTAGGAGGGTAGTAGATTCTTCAAATAGTATACTCAAAACTTCAATTTAACTGTCCAATAAACATAAACTCGGAAATCCACAATTTGATGTCCTAACTGATTGGCCTATCCAAATAACGGCACCGATGATTTAGGGCATCCTCACAGATATGTGAAATGATGCTACAATTTGACAGGTGGCTTTCCCGTTTCTTGCGGTTCTGTTGCGCGAGAAGGAATGAGAGGAGCGTTCTCTGGCTGATTTGAGGTGCAGACAGATTCCTTGATGGCCACGTTGGTCTCCATTATAAAACTCGAGAGAAGTAGCGCGATTTGGTCGTGCAGAAGTCGCAAACCACAGAGCCGTCTAACCGTTACGGTCCTGGCTGTCTGCGTAACCCCTCTGCGCAACAATGCTTCCATCATCGAAGCAAGATCTCTCTGCGCTGCCCATACCAAAGGAGGTCGACCAAATTGTTGATCAGCGAGGTTAGAATCAGCGCCATGGTCTAATAGCGACATGAACATGGAGTGATGGTCTCCCTGAATTGCATAGAGCAATAGTGTCATGCCCTGATGTTCAGTCATCACACTTGGACAAGCCCCATTGTCTAATAGTGCCCTAACAACATCATAAAGCTTGTGGGAAGAAGCGAACAACAACGAAGTCACGCCGGAATCATTCATGTGGTTCGGATAGAACCCATGGGTGAGCAACGTTAGAACAACAACCGCACCCCAATATTTGGCTGCGTTGAATAGCGGTGTATGACCTGCATTATCCTTGATAAGAGAATCATCCCTCCAGACTGATACATTCATGTGGTTGGCACCAAACGATTGCTTGAGCAATGATGAGACAGCAAGCGAATCCCCGTATCTGCCTGCGTCGAAGAGCGGTATCTTACCTGCATTATCCTTTACCATTAAGATTCAGCTTCCTTGACGAGTATAGTTTTATTAGTTTAAGAAGTCGCATGCGTCCTCTAGCAAAGGCGTAGTTGGGCGCGGACAAGCCATATTCATCTCTTATATTAGGGTCACAATTTGCCTCGAGCAAAAGTGCGACTACCCTATCGTGACATTCAAGTTCACCAATTCGATATTTATTGCAAGCGCTGCCATAGTTATGGCCTTTGTCACAACAAAGCATCAAAGGGGTTCGGCCATCGTTGCTCCTTAAATCTGGACTGGCTCCATTGTCCAAGAGTAACTTCACAACCTCGAAATGGCCATATTTTGCTGCTAGCGCAAGGGGAGTAAATCCCCACTGGTCTTGTTGATCTGGAACGAGTCCTTGTTCGATCAAAGATCTGGCTGCCCCCTCCTGGCCATTCTCTGCTGCCCAAAATAGTGGAGATCTGTTGGCAGCATCAAGAGCATCATAGGGATATCCGGCTTTTATCAGCTCCCTCAGCGCACTTTCTGGCCCAAGATATGCAACCAAGTGAGCTTCTGTCACCGTTTCTGGCATCTGCTCGTGCCGTTCAATAACATCTATCTCGCCCCGTGACGTCATTAAGGCTTGAGCACAATTCCAGACCTTCTTCTTGTCTCGGAGAAGGCTGTGTACCAATCCGGGTTCTGCAAGGGCAAGCTGAAAATGATAGCCCCAATTTTGAGTACAGTAGCCAGAAAAATGCAAATCTTCCAGGAGTAAGTATGCTCGTGGCTGAACGGAATGCAGCAAGTATGCCATGCAGGCTCTTGCCATGTCATAGTGCGCTCGGGGAAACCACTTTGTCTGGGATCTCTCGAGATACTCCTGTGCGGTATGATGGACTAAGCGAATGATACGACAATTTTCGTCTATAGTTACCAAGCCAGCACAAACAGCGACCATGTCTTGCGCGTCAGGAAGATTATCAGGATCAAACTCTGCCTCGTCGGGCTCGACTGCAAGGCCATATTGAAGCTGTTCTATCTTCAGCGGCACCCGAGCGCAGGTGATCCATGCAAGAATCTGAAATGCCAACTCTCTTTCTCCCGCCGTCTTCCCATTAATCCGCTCCAAGGCTTCTTCATATGCAACATCGTACGCGTCAGTTCCAGTTGGCAGTTTCTCTAGTGTTTTCTTAACCGCCGTTACCGAGAGCTTTCCTCTCAATGAGTCAAGGTGGAGTTGGGCAAGAAGAAACCTATGAATGTCAGTGCAAGAGCGGATTTTCTTAATGAGACACATGGTGGAACATACATTCCATCCACTGTTTTTATAATTGCTTCAACTATTTCGTCCTGTAGCTTATTGTTTCCTAGCACGACCCTTGACAGATCGGACATGTGATCTCGCAGATATGCCTCTACATCTTCAGCGGCAGCAGAAATTTCTTGCTGTAAGCAACCATCGAATGCCGACTGGATGACCGGGCTATGCCGTGACGTAGCGAATATGCTAACTGTGCTGTTGCTCTGCAGACGAAATAACTCGGATAACAGCCTGCGTAGCGCTTCATCCCTAGATGAATATTCATCAAGGGCGTCCACCACTATGAAGATCCTCGAGAAGTGACCAAGCAGAACGGATAGGCTCTCGAAAAGTTCGTCGAGTTCCGGCCGTGTCTGAAGTTTCTTGTGTTGCGCATATAGGGTCTTTATATCCCCGGGAAGGGACGACATTCTTTGACACAATTGCTTTATCAGACTCGCAAGTATATTGTCCACACTCTGCTCATGGTGGCGCCGAAAGTTGCAGTATATGTAGGCGAGACCAACACTTCGGTCGTGTTCACACTTCTCTTCAAGATGTTTGATGACAATAGCAGTAAGCATTGTCTTTCCAGCTCCAGGTATGCCCGTGCACAGGATATTTTTATTTTCGTTGTTAATCCACTGCTGAAACTTGTCCGTGCCTAGTAGCCACTTACCGGTACCCTCTTGCCGACGTTTGAAATATTCACCTTGCTGAGTTGCATAGTTGACGGTCGTAAGCCATTCAAGGAGTTTATGCTGAGCTTTGTCTTCCATGGTGTTGTTAACTCGGTGAACGAGCTCGTTTGTAGTAAAGGCTACTTGACTATTTTCGGAATGTGTGAGCACTCGCCTTCCTGGGTTATTATGAACCCATACCTAGTCAGACTAGTACTGAAGAGATTAAAGATTTGAACATTGGACTGTATCCTCTGACAAATCTCAGCCATCTCAGCTTGGTCCCATTTGAGTCTTTTCCAGACGCGACGACAGGTGCCCCCTAGGCTGTTAGTGCCAGGGTCCAACTCCTGGTATTTGTCTAATTTGCTGAGTAGTTCATTAAGTCCACTACGGCAAGAGCGAGAGATTTCGTCTAGGTGTTTCTCCTGCTGGGAATCAAGCTCCGCTTGCTCGTAGATGTCTTTGATATCGCGGAGGACATTGCACAAGGTCTTTGAACTGGCGACATGTAAGTCTCGGGAAAGACGCGCATGGTATTGATCCTTACGCTTCTGAAATATGTCTGAATTGGTCTGGTGCACTAACAAAGCGCACCCTGATGGCCTTGGCGAGTTTCACTACAGCGAGGAAGTCCCCGACACCATATCCGAAGCTCATGGTGCAGCTTGAAGGGGGCAACCGCTAGTTTTACAGAAGAAGGGGATGACAGAATCTCAATGAAGGTATTTATTTGTTAATCGCCTTGTGTTGCTCACTAAGTTCATGGAAGAGGAGTCATCCCTTATATGGATAACGCTGCCCGATGGCAAGCGCCGGCATTGTGTACTACAGATTGCAGCCTCGCGGAAAGAGGGAACAGTCCCCCTGAAAGCCATCACGGTTGAACAAGGCAAAGCTATAAGTGTCAGCTGCCTGTTCCATGTATGACTGTAGGCATTGAACTTGTTTTTAAGTTGCTCAATTGCACAGATGGAACACAAGCATCGCGAATACGACGGGGCGGTGCTGCTGCTGTGCTGCGGAGGCGGAAGTCCATAGTAGATCACAGCATATATACGCTATTCCTGATATGGAATGGCACAAGGCAAGCTTATCCACCGCACTAAGTCGGCTGAGTCAGCAGTACCGGCAAAATGCAGGGCAAGCGTAATGAGCCCTAACGCACCGAGAGCAGTTAGACTCGCTAAGCGAGCCACTAGCTCGACTCTCTCGGGCGGCCAAACCTGAGCGCGAATTTTCGAGATCGATTTCGACCCGTACGACAACTCCCAGCGCCAGCCCGCGAGACGACGACAAGGTATGTGATATTGTTGCCAGTTGCTTGCCTGTTGCATGCTAATTGAGAACAGATGGTCCTCGCAAAGAAGCACGTCCCCATCGTCAAGAAGCGTATGTCCTTTCTTTTCTCCCTGCTAGTCCCAGCCCAGTCCAGTTCCCAGCCAGAGTACGATCCGTCAGTTGTCAGTCGTCCAGCAAGCATGAGGAATATATACGATGCGATGGAATGAGAAATCAGACGATCGGAGCGAACAAATCAATTTTTCTATGTTTCTTATTGCGAAGGAACGATGGCGAACGACGAACTTGATCGACGAAGAAATTATCACAAGCGACCGAAATTTCGATTCGATCTGGACGAAGATATTAACACACACCAACAACATGAATTGACAAGTGCTTGCTGGACCACCGACATACAGCCGGATTGAACTAAAAACACACATACACACGTCGTCAGGACGAACGACCCGACTAACATCAAACTCCTTCCAGGCACCAAGCGTTTCTGGCGCCACCAGTCCGACCGCTTCAAGTGCGTGCCGGAGTCATGGCGCAAGCCCAAGGGTATCGACAACCGCGTCCGTAGACGCTTCCGTGGCAACATCCCCATGCCCTCCATCGGCTACGGATCCAACAAGAAGACCAAGCACATGATGCCCTCCGGCCACAAGGCTTTCCTCGTCCACAACCCCAAGGACGTTGAGCTCCTGTTGATGCACAACCGCACCTACGCCGCTGAGTACGTCTACACCTATCTTTGGCATTATATAATTCTTTTGAATACAATACTAATAAATCAAATAGGATCGCCAGCGCCGTCTCCTCCCGCAAGCGCGTCGACATCATCGCCAAGGCCAAGGCTCTCGGCGTCAAGGTCACCAACCCCAAGGGCCGCGTCACCACCGAGGCTTAAATGGATATGGAATGAATGTAAAGAAAGCCCAAGAAATTTCATCATTTTCATTTTCATTTTTCATTAAAACTTTTTTTTCCACTTTATACCAACCAAATGGGAAAACCAACCACTTTCGGGGGACAATTAAAAAAGCAAAACAACAGACAACTACTACTACGTGGTGTTTGTTTGTTAATTTGTGATCTTGGGGACTTGCGGAGCCTTGAATCATCGCATCTTCTCTAATGTGGGCTTTGGCTTTGTGTGTGTCTGACGTTGACGACGTATATGCTGGATTGCAAGCGTTTCCATTTGTCATGGGGCGCTTGTGGTCGTGGCTGGTGCTGCCAGTCTGGGAATAAAAATCTAAATCTTATGAAGACTTTTTGATGACCGAGGGTTGCGTCTGGTGGTGTAGTTGTATCTTGTAGCGTTGTAGTTGGTCCCATTTAGTGTTGTATCCTACCTATCGTATAGACTATAACTACGTAAATGGCTTTACTTCACTCGTTATTTGGACAAGCCAGGCAAGCTGTAATTGTATATACGTTGTATCACCCCGCAGAATGGAACTATGTTTGTCTATGACGCTTGTTCTATGATATGTCCAATTTGAAGTGGCAGATGAAACTTTGTCTATGGTGGTATCAAGTAAACGAATCCAGCTATGTGACAAAATGTAGTCCGTCGTTCATCATCTCAACATGTCTAAAATCTCTAATTGCAATTGCAAGTAACGCCAAATCATGCACCATGTAACCAACGTCTTTATCATGCAGCCGCCTGCGCAGCAGCATCTGCCTTCCTACCAGACGAAATATCGACGAGGCCAACACCCTGCACAAGAGCAGGGATATTCGCCTCCGAGCCGTCCTCCGCGCCAGGCAAAACAGCATGTCCGATAACGATCTCCTCTTCCTCAGGACCAAACACCCAGTCGGGCATCTCGCGCGGTCCCTCCACACCGTCCGGCGGCAGGGCCCAGCTAGGCATCTTGCTCGTGTATTTCCAGCCCTCCTCTTTGTCAGAGTATGCCGCGGCGTGGAGGAAAATACCTAGATCCTCGGGTCTAGGGTCCGAGTAGAGCTCTGTGTCGCAGATCTTGCACCTCTCGCCGGACAACATCTCGCCTTTGCGCTTGTGGTATCTCTCCACGGCGGCTTCGTGCTCGCGAGACATGATCTCCTCCACGACGGAGTTGTCCGTGCCTGGCGGTACCATAGGCACAGTGGTAAGGTGCGTCCGGTAGCTTACGGTGTCAGGGACTTCGGTCTTGCCAATGTTACATAGCTTATCGATAAGCTCATTGTCGCGCTCGTCGCTGGTGTCGTTCTTGCCGAGATCCGGTCCAAAAACTTTGCGGTTGGAGTAGATGGGATCGTTCGAGATCGGGTGTCCGAGGAACTGAAGGTGCACGCGAATCTGATGCGTGCGGCCGGTCAAGGGCAGACAGTGGACGATACTGTATCCTTCGTCTTCGTTGGTGTAGACCGGAGGCGGAGTCGCCACCCGTCCGTCTGCATCGGGGGCGCTCTGAGGCTCCGGAGCTTGAGGCGGGACATACGCCAGACGGCGGAACTTGGTCTTTGCCTCCTTGCCAGTGGCGCGAACGCGGTTCAGGCCTACCTTTGGGCTCACGGACATGATGGGCTGGTCGCAGACAATGACGCCGTCGGGGAACTTTCCCTTGACACGCGCCACATACTCCTTCTGGAGGGTGCGGGCCTTGAGCTTGCCGGTCATGTTTTCTGCAGCTTTCGGGGTCTTTCCGAGGAACATGACTCCGGAGGTGAGTCGGTCCAGACGGTTGCAGGGTCGTGGGACCCATTCCGGATGGCGCTGAGAGCGCATGATCTCGAGCACGGAGTTGTAGTGGTAGCGACCGGCGGAGTGGACGGGCACACCGGCGGGCTTATCAATGACAATCAAATCGTCATCCTCGTGGATGATACCAATCTCTTTCCCGGTGACGGGGGGTTCGTGACGGTGCAGGGTATGCGAGATGATTTGGCCGTTCTTGACAACGGTATTGGGGCCAGCAGGCGTGCCGTTGACGGCGACAAGGCCATCTTGTAGGGCTTTCCTCTGCAGTCCAGAGAACCATGTCAGTATATGGTTTGTCAAAGAATAGTCAAGAGATGGGAGCGTACGTAGTACTCTGCGGGACGATCGCGAAACTCCGACAGGAAAATGTCCACCAATTCACGACCCCGCCAGCGCTCCTTGCAGAAAGTGTTGTAGGTGTAGTGGTATGGCTTCACCCGACGCAGGCCGCCTTCAAGATAGTATGGTGCAGGCCATGGGTCGCAGGGCGTGATGGCCACCTCAGGGGGCTCCTGAACCGGGTCAGGAGGTGGGACTTGCAGTGTGGTGTCGACGGGCACGAGAGACATGATGGGCGGGGGAATCCGGCCGCGTCGCAGTAGGTACGCGGTAATGCGAGGAGAGGGAGCCAGGAGGGATAGCGAAAATAAGAAAAATGGCAGAAGTGAAAGCGAAAGTCAGTTGGAAGGACAGGAGACAAGAGAAGGGGATCCGTTCCTGACTTGGTTCCGTGGCGGCGAAGGAAAAGAAAATTTTGGCGATGCGGGGAAATTCCCCGTCTATACTATCCATCCCGCAAGGGGCATGAATTTCTATAAGGATTGGCTATTAGTGTTTCTAGCTATATAATACAAGCAGGGGATTAGTTTATAGCATAGTATAATGGAAACTATTATTTCTTATTTAAAATAAATATCCAAGCAATCACACACCACCTGTATCTAATTAGATATCATATACAGAATTATATATTATCATCAAGAATATAGCTCCAATGACTGAAAAGTCGGTTCATATGATGATGACGCGCGGCTATTTAGCTGGAACTGAACCTTGCATACTCCTGGCAAACAGACATTCAGTCACAACTATCAAGTCAAGCGGCGAGTTTGAAACGCACATAATCGTCGATGCGACTCGTCCCATCTGACATCACCTGGCCGCCTTCCATCTCCTCCATGTCCCTAAGAAATTTGTCAATGAAATCACCCGCAGCACTTAGATGAAGAATTTTCGCTATGGCACAATGGATTTTCAGAAGATCAACAGATGGCGGGCCTATATTTCGGTTTGGAGTGATATACAGCGTTCGGGTGACAGGAAGCTTCACAATTCGAAATAAGCGATCTCGTTCTACGTAGTCGATCTTGTAGGTCTGAGGTCCAATATGCTCAAACGAGATCTCAAATCTACCAAACAACATGTGAAGATCATGGGTCAAAGTGAGCGCATTCATAGGTCGATCAATATCAGTCCCACTGATGAGAGGAATAGCAGTGGGATTGAACATATTCAAGATTTTATGGGCCATTTGTTTGTGCTCGGGCTAGATAGATTGTAAGTGATGGATAAAATTCGAGAATCTGGATTATTACACACCAGTTTTGGCTCCCCATCAATACTGGTGAGTGACATGAAGGAATGAGGGATAATATGT